AATTGATGAATTCATGTGTGAAAAATAACCAGAAATTGATGAATTCATGTGTGAAAAATAACCAGAAATTGATGAATAAATCATGCGACCAATCAAACATAAGATTTTGCGAACAAATCCCACTACAAACAGCGACATTGGTTATGTGATTCATCATTAGTTAAGGGTAGGGATGGCAACGATCCCGCAGTAATTATCAGCCGACTTTGAGCAAGATTTGTAAAAAATTGGCATTTTTAACTTGTGTTCAATTAATAAGTAAAGTTGATAATATCTAATAAAAGTTTATCAGTTTTAGCATTAGTTTTTGAGTAATTTTGATGGGACCGATTAAGGACCGATCAGCTCAAAAAAACTGATAAACTTTTATTAGATATTATTATAAGAAGTTTTTTACAAGTTTACATTAATTGAACACTAGTTAAAAATGTCAATTTTTACAAATCTTGCTCAAAGTCGGCTGATAATTACTGCGGGACCGTTGCCATCCCTAGTCAAGGGTAGAGTACATGTAGATCATTTGAGTGCTGCAGAGCGAAAAGCTGGAAGTGAATATTTAAGTTTTCATCATGGCGAGTTTAGCCCATTTAGTCTTGTGAATTCTGATGTTACGTGATTAATATAATCATTGTCCTAGTCGTTTAGTAAAATTTCGTACTAATGTATTGTTATTGTTACTGAACTATCAAAAAATTGCTTATCAATACGAAATATCGAAGTTCTTCAAGGGTTAAATTCACCATGATGAGAACTTAAATATTCACTTCCGGCTTTTCGCTCTACAGTACTCATTTGTCTTATGATCTGCACAGTAAATTTAGATTTACATAGCAAATAAAAATATGTTACTAAATAAATTTTTTAAATTTAAGATATATAAATTAAAATAATTTATTTATTATAATAAAATTTTATAATATATATTATTTTAAAAAAACTATACTTGTATATATCATAAAAATCTCGATGGTAGCGTTCTAATTGATTGATTATCATATGATTTTTTATAATACCTAATCTTTAAATAAACCTATTTCAATGAATTTTAATCCAAATTTAATAATTATACCATCATTAGAATCATAAAATCTGCTTTACAACTTTGCTTAAAGGTCTAAAAGCAGTTAAGTTAGTAAAAATATTTTAAATACCAAAATAAATAAAAAATTACGATTAAAGCCATCAATAGAAATAAGCTTTAAATATAAATTTTAGTGAACGTGCATTAACATTTTAATTCGCTTAACAAATGTAAAAAAAAAAACAACCAAAATTCACAAGAAATTGTCGAATCTGAAAAATTCCTAAAAAGCTTCTCCATATGGATACAAAACAGTAAGTCTTTTAATTAATAATTTAATAAATTAATTAATTAATAATTTTTTTAATTAATAGATAAATTATTATTATTAACTAACAATTTAAATTTCGTTGTTTATAAGATAGTAATATTTCTGATTTTCTGTTCATCGAAATTCATTCGTCATTACATTACTCCATTCTCGCATTTTCAATTAAAATTTCAAACAAAGTATAAATTGTTAACTAATGCTTTTTCAAAAATAATTCAAAAACGTATAAAAGAAATTGAGAAAAAAAATCAAAGAGTTGGTGAAAAAATAAAACCAATGGAAGAAATTGAGATTACAGGAATTTTTTGTTGCTGGAGTTGAAACGGTATGTTGACATCTATAACCTATCAATAAAATTTATTATTATATTAATTAATTTTATTTAATTTTCATTAATTTTATGCAATTTTATTTAATTTAGGTGTTAATCACATGTAGGATTTTTTTTTCCTTTTTTAAAAAAAAGACAAGCATATGATACATATATGCATAATTAGGGATGGTAAAAAAAAAATCCTTTTTCCCCGATTTAAATCAGACGATAATTAGTTAAATCTGAAGTTGAATATATTTATAATCATCACTTATTTTAATTACATAATAAAAAAATTCTGCCATTCTTACGTATAATAATAATATACTAGTAGGTCTATACTTCATGTTAGCGCGTTAGGTTTAGGGTTAGGGTATAAGTTTATATACGCGTGAGTATGTTCATACATTATTAAATTTATTAACCCGACTATGCTATTTTACATAAGACTCAGATGATGACAATAACTCTAAAATTATACTTTCAAAGTTACTTTTAAAATATGAGTACTGCAGAGTGAAAAGCTGAAAGTGAATATTTAAGTTTTCATCTGGCGAATTTAGCCCCTGACGAACTTCAATATTATATACTGATAAACAATGTTCTGATAGTTCAGTAACAATAACAATATGTTCGTACAAAATTTTACTAAACGACTAGGACACTGATTATATACATGATTAATTATGTAACATGCAGAATTCACAGGGCTAAATGGGCTAAACCCATGATGAAAACTTAAATATTCACTTCCAGCTTTTCGCTCTGCAGCACTCATATAACACTTATGGCATATATGGTTTCACTACCTTTAAAAAAACCACTTTAAACCAATTTGTCAAACCAATTTGAAAAAACCCGAATTTGGCTTTTTTTTTTTTAAGTGAATTAATCTAGTAACTTCCATCAACTTTATTAATTAGAGATAAATAATAATGATATAAATAGTATTTACATGCATGTAAACCATTAAATAATCTAAATATAAGATAATTAAAAGCTATATCGATAACTTTAAAACTCCATCGATAACCTTAAACCATCATTTTCATTTTTTTTAATCGAATATCTACCAGAAATTTTATGCCAATAAAAAGAACCAATAACTATATCTAATAATGCGTTAACACATTTACTAATATCTTGATCAATTTCCGAACTAAAATGTGTTAATCTATTGAAGATATCTTGAATTTGTGTCATTCGCTTATTGATTAAATCCACTGTATAAGTAATAGCCTCTTGCAAAGAACATTGGCGCAGACAGCGTAAAACTATAATAATATTATCAACTTCACCTTCCTTTAATTCTTTTTCGAACGAGTAAAGATCATTAGTAAAGCAAATATGATCATTACAGTAATCCATAAGATTTTGTAAGTCTGGATTATCATACGAAATTCGAACTCCGAGCAAGGGTTCGATTAAATTAAAACTAGTCATTACTGCCCCTGAATTTCTTCTGATTTTTATATATGCTTTCACCGAATTAGGAATGTTATTTGTATGCTCATTCCGTGCATTTACACAACATGCATCAAAGTAAAGTAAAATAGTATTGCGAAATTTTAATTGCCATGCCTTTGTAGTCATTTTTTTCATTCTAGCCCACACATCCCATAGCGCAATAGCTATTGGGCTTTGTAAATCTTCTGGTTTTGGTTTATCATCTAAAATAGCCTTGAATTTATCGAGTACTATTTTTATTTTTTCAGGCTTTCCTTTTAGATCTTTATTATTATCAATTAAATCATCAACAAAAAATAACCAATTAAAAAAATCGATAGCAAGGTAACGTCTTTCAAAGGGTGTTGTTGGAAATATGTAGCAAATAAGTAATCCAAATTTGCTTCCTTTAAATTCCTTATTCGTGGTATTTTTCGCAATTAATCCAAATTTCTTCGCCCACTCATAACAATGTTTTTCTGTATTTAATATTTCTTTCCTCGAAACGTATTCATGGACCCGTAGAGGTACATCACACTTTAATAAATCCAAAATTTTATGTGGTTCATTGAGTGTATCTATATCATCAATTTGTCGTATTGTTCTGATTTTTTGTAATTTCTTTATTCTTGGAACCTTTTTCCATTCAGTAAGTTCTTTATTTTTGGATTTTATAATATTTTTTTTATTTTTCGGCATTGTTTTATTATTATTTTTTTAATCGGTTTAAAATTCTGTTACGGAAGACTTGTAATGCTTAAATATTAAATTTGCGACTCACCACTGCGTGATAACTGTTTTTCGGGTGATAACTGAATTTTCACATTTTACACATAATTCGTAGTAATCACAGATCACATATTTGCGATCTCAATACTTCATTAATAAAATGATTTGTAATTTCAAGGAATTAGATCTCTATGAAATCATCCTTATGACTATGTTCTACTTACTCCTGAATTTCCCATCTAAAAATGAAATGCAAAATGTAATTATTTCTATTTTAATCTGTTAAAAAAAAACACACAATTTAGTATTTACCGTTACGTTACTAAGAATTAAGATTGTTAAAATTTATTACGAGAAATTCGCATAAAAACAAAGTTTGGATAAAATTTACAGAAATATGAAAAATCAATTTATTTAATATCCGGATTTTTTTTCCTGTTTCTAGATTAGCACGATTTGGACCTAACGTATATAGTAAGCGTGTTGTTTTAATGGTTAAGGGGTTTAGCTGATATTTTTTTTTCGTATTAGTACAAGCTGTAATATAAAATGGTTTTCGAATTTTATATCAACGTTTCTCATACGCTTTCGCATATAAATTTGTTACTATTTTTAAATATATACTTTGGTACTAGGATCTAAATATTTGATTCCAGATATCAGGTTTTAGGTTTTAGTTACTGGAATACCAGATATTGATTTGCTAAATATTAATTACAATTACAATCATAATTAGTTTTCTTTGCCGGGTAGATGAGTTGATAATCATTGATCGTCAATGTCATAACGATAATGAAAAGGTCATCATTTCTAGAATCAATCAAATGATATTAAAGTGGGTCGAAATGAGCTGTCAGTGAAATGTGGTCAGTTATGATTTAGATGGTCCGGTGTGAAGGGTTCCCGTGTGACTATTCTTCATTTCCTTTTTAATTAATAAATTTTAGTTATCGTTAATATATAGTATATAGTCCGATAGTACCGTCATAAAAAGAATTACCAGGTACATTTGTTGCATAAAGTGGTTTGTATAATTTAGGTAACTGGTTATTAAAAACCAGTTAAATTTAAGGGTAGGGTGTACGTAGATCATTTTTTATATGATCTAGATGGTATAATAGATTTTTATATAGTAAATTAAAAATGTGTTACTAATAAAACATTTATATTTCTTAATTAATTTTTATCAAAATTTAATAATATATAGATTTTAAATAAGTTATTTATTATGTTAAAATTTTATAAGATATTTAATTTAAAAAAAATTCTATTTGTATATACCTTGAATTTTTCTAGAGAGTTCTATGTTTTTTCTAGGATCATACAAAAAAATTAACTTTAATTGGTTAATTTTTGAAAAACTATAAAAGAATTTTAATAATAAATTTAATATTTAATTTTTAAAAATTCATATATCAATGTGTTTTATACTAATTTTAATGATTTTGTTACTATTAAAGGTAGAAGGCATGTAGATCATTTTTATATAGTTATGTATAGTATATTAAAATTTTCATTTGAAATTAATATATACTATTAATAAATCTTTTTAATTTTTAATTAATTAATAAAAAAATTTTATAATATTATAGATAAAAATTATTTATCTATTATAGTAAAATTTTAATATATTGTATTATTTTAAAAAAATATACTTGTATATATAACAAAGTTTACTTAGGTGGGTTAAAATTTCCTTAGGTAATACAAAAAAAAAATTTGATTAGTTAATTTATATAAATCTATTAGTTAATTTTATTTTATAATTTTATATTCTAATCTTTAAAAATTAATATCTTAATGTGTTTTTAACCTATTTTAATAATTTTACTATTATTAAAATCAGAAAAACCTACTTTACAATTTTACTTAATAATTAAAATTAGTTTAGTTAATATAATTTTTTATAAAATTAAATAAAAAAAATTTACTATTAGGTTTATATATAATTTTAAAATACTGCCTCCTATCCTTAAAATTACAAAAATCTATTCTACAACTTTATTTAAAAACTTAAAAAATATTTAAATAGTAAAAATTTTTATAATTAAATTTTTTTTTTCTTAAGTAGTCATACTAATACTTTATTAAGATTTTGAAATTACATTTGCAATTACATAAATATTCCTAACAACTAAGTCTAGCATCATCTAATCATCTTATTAGTACCTAAGTGCAACCTGTCATATTATTTTAAGCAAAAATAAGCTGCTTGTCTGACTACTTAAAGTTTATAATAAAAAGGTTTTTTTCTTTTCATAACAAGCTTTAAAATTGTCTTCTGTGTTTTTTTTTTGTTTTTTATTTCTTTTTTTTACTTCTTACTAACTTGTCTTTTTTTTTTGAATCTTTTTTCTTTTTTTTACTGTTTCTTTTTAATCTTTCTGTTATTTCTATTTTTCTTTCTATTTACTAATTTTTTCATATCAAATTTTTCATACTTGTTTATAAAATATATCTCAGACTATGTTTACTATTACATATATTAACTGCTATTTTAATTTTTTTTTTAAAAAAATATTAAGATAAATACTTGTGATTCAGAATTTTATTGATAGTATATTTGGCTAATAGTTGCATTATAACTACAGGAAGCAACTATGAAGAGAGTGTACAACTAGCTACTCATACAACTTTAGTCATTGTCTAATTTAAGTAATTTGCTCAAAGGTTCTACACTAGTTGTCATACCTGAAACCCACTTGTAAGTTCTCTATTTAACCACTCTGTTTCTATATCTACCTACCTATCTCTGCCTATCAATGACTCCAGTTGATGCTAATGAAAATATGACATAGTCACTAAGTCTTTAAAGCAGTTCACTTATATGAGGAACCTTTAACCTTGTACTAAACCTTCCAGAATCTTCTAAATCCCATTCTTACAGCTAACCTGGTATTGCTATGGCTGAGACTAACACTAGTGGTTAGAGCATATCATTGTTAACTTAAAAAATTATTATAATTCTTAAAACCCTAGACAGAATTTAATGAAACTACTATCATTTAAATCAACTCACTAAAACAGTTCTAATAAGGTATAGATCATCTATTTCTGGTTACAGAATCACAAGATTGAATCCAATAATCAAATTAATAAGAAAGCTGCAATCTGATTGGTTGAATGATTACTGTGCGAAATATCATACATATAACATATATAACATTTATGTATTTTGGAGCATATATATTTCATATTATATTTAGTTTATATATATTATTTAGTTTATTTATTTTATCTATT